TTCGTCTGGCTCTCTCCCTTCTTATACTCGAGTGGACAGTCCAGTAATATGATACGCGGATTCTTTATCCTCCGACGCATATTCGGATGTGTTATATCCTTGTTCAGCAGAACACCATCCAAAACCCTTGACTCCTCAATGGATCCCCCTGGAATCTTCTCTACACGTGCGTATCGTTTGATATCGACGGTCTTGTGGCCGTTATCTTCAGCCGCGACTGTTCGTACGGCTTGGAGAGCGAGACGGCACATCAACTCAGACCATCGCGCGACGAATTTGGTACCAATAGACGTCTTGATGAGCGACAGCATTTGATCGTCTGACGAAGTGTCGATCGGTATGGAGATCTTTTTGATGATTTCGAGGGACTCTTTGAGAGCTTTGTTATAAGCGGAGATGATGACGACGGGGTGGATGTCACGTTCGAGCTGGGAGAGTGACTGGGCGAGGATCTCGCCAGCTAATGAGTCTTGAATTAGTTTCAAATGTACCACATTTTGTATTCCTGCGCACCGAGGATGATGACACTCGTCGTTCCGTCCCCGCATTCTTCGTCCTGTGTCCGACTGAGTTCGATCATGTTCTTGGCTGCAGGATGTGCAACATCGATTTCCCGAAGGATCGCGTTGCCGTCATTAGTGAGTCTGGTGCACGTCAGAGGACAAGGCGTCATGTCGCAAGGAAGAGCAGTGCTCACAAAATACCACCCATTGGATCGAGAATCATCTTGAGCATGGCTTTTGGACCCAAGCACGTTCGGATGACATCGGCGATGGTCTGGATGAAGAAATGAGATGGTAGAGTAGACTCGTTTCGCAGTCTTCCAGACGGACCTTGGCTGCCGTGATGTTTGAGACCTGCGCCTTCCTCCCCGACTGCCTCTCGGGCGCGGCGTCTGATGGATGTGTTTGAGCAATGATCAGGTCACGTTGGGATCACAAGAGTATTGGAGACCGCACTCATCACGAATACTGGTGTCTGTCCGCCTGCTTGCATCTTGTCCTGACGACGTGCAGCTCAGAAAACAATGCCAAAAAGGATGAGGACAAGCCTCGCTGGACTTATTCACGCGTAAATACGTGCTTGTGACATGATGTCACACACAAGTCACTCCTGGGCGCGGTCTACTGTTTATCATGCAACTACCAAAATCTGGATATCAGAGTCGATGGAACGACTCGCACGTAAAATAAAACCCACATAGGACATGGCTCGTACAACTCCATACTTATTCATCTACTTATTTCTCGAACACCTATTCCATGCTACCAACTTGCCCGACTCCAACTGCTCCTTCGCCTGCTTTCTTCCTAAGCTCCGCCTGGGTCCTTTCGACTTCGTCCTGGACGAACTCGATCGATTTGAAGTACTTGACCGTTTTGACGTGGAGTTCTTATTTCCAGCATAATTTGAAAGAAGTGCGATGGGTAATGGATGATCACGCGCACCGTCATGACAATTAGATAGAAAACGAAGTGATTCAAGCAAATCAAGCCAGGTATGATGTTTTGCATAACGACAACTCACCGTTTGTAGCGTCCTCATCCACCACAATCAGTGCCCACGGATGGAGTTGGAGCGCCGAGAGAGTCCACTATTAATGAGCATACCGGACGATGAAAGGTGTCGTGGCACAGCATATGTACAGGGAGACAGAAGTTGAAGCAAGGAAACAAGTGGGGGCCGGGACCAACGACGTTTAGGTTAACGTTAGATTGAGACAGGATGAGTTCCCGTGCAACATCAAATAATGAGTCTGCGGACGCGCTGCTTACCAGATGGTTCACTCCCTCCTCTGTGGTGTGTGATAGACGTTAGTGGAAGGGGGTAGCGGGAAGAACGCAGCCAAGAGATAGACTACTGCTTACCAATAGCCTTGCTGAGCGCCAGACTCTTCCTCAACCCGGTGACGACAACGACGACCTCTCTGGCCTCCAAGACAGTGGCCACGCCGACTGTGAGTGCCATTCTGGGTACTTTTGAAATGTCATTGTTGAAGAAGCGTGCGTTTGCGAGGATGGTATCGTATGCGAGAGTTTTGATGCGGGTGCGAGAGGCAAGGGAGGAGCCTGGTGAAGAATGGGGTGACAGAAAGGTAAGTTGTGGAAATAGAATGGAAAGAGCGGACGGACCAGGCTCGTTGAAAGCGATATGGCCATCCTCACCGATACCGCCTAAGAAGAGTTCGATGCCGCCATAGGACTTGATACGTTGTTCGTAGGCATTGCACTCGGCGATAAGGTCAGGGGCATTGCCATTGAGGATATTAACCTGGGTCGGAGGAATGTCGACTGGGGTAACATTGAGCAAGAGGGTGGAGAGGAAGTTTAAGACACACTATGAGAGAAGAACTCTCTGAACATGAAGGTGTGATATGACTCGGAATGGTCTCTCGGTAGGCCGACATACTCGTCCATATTGAAGGTGACGACATGCTTGAAGCTGAGTTTCCCTTGCTTTACGAGGCTGATGAGGGCCTTGTAAGTGGGGATGGGGGACGAGCCGGTTGGGAGGCCGAGCACAAAAGGCTTGTCGGCGGAAGGTGCAAAGTCGATTATCCTGAGGAGGTGAGGGTGTGCGTGGATGGGCGATATGGGACGCACCTCTTTGCGATGTAGTTTGCGATGTAGTCGCCGACAGCGGCGGGGTCATCGCGGATGATGAGACCTGCGGACGAGGATCAGCGGCGACGACGGCAGGGCTGCGCAGAGCACGTACGCATTGGAGGCAGATCACGTCGCGAGAGGAGCTGGAGCAGGGACTATATCCTGCCCGGAGACAGCATGCCGACATGCCGGACGCCTCCTTTTTCGGCCCGCACGGTCGCACGCTGATTGGCCCAGCGGATGTGTCCCTCATGGTCCCCATCCGCTGGCCACACTCGCTCGCCGCTTCCGCTGTTCTGTCCTCCCACGGGTCGAGGTTCATTGCATATGCGTCTCCTCTTCCCCTCCCAGACCTCGTCCCAGACTTCCTTGCGCACGCGAAATCCCTGCCCGCCCTCAGACGCGCCACCCACCTCATGTACGCCTACCGCACGCCCACCGCATCTGGCTCCCATGACGGCGGCGAACGCGGCGCAGGAGAACGACTCCACAGACTCCTCCATCTCAGACAGGAAAACAACGTCCTCGTCCTCGTCGCAAGGTGGTATGGCGGCGTGAAATTGGGCCCACAGAGATGGAAGTGCATATCCCAAGTAGCCAAAGAAGCACTCGACAACTTGCACCCCCACCGAGATGACTGTATGCTTCCCTGGCAGCTCTCCTGTCTCGAACTCACCTTCTCGTCAGCGCTATACCATGAGAACCGCATGTGGTGAAACTAGAAGTCGACGGTGGCAGAGACGTGCATGTTCCCCATATAGGCGCACAGACACTCGATGCCTACACTCCTGAGTAACACCGCTTTCGGCCCTTTACACGCACGACCCATCCGAAATCTGCCCAACATTTCCGTTCTCATCCTTTCCCTGCGCAGCTACCATCGCTTCGTGTAGCCCATGCTGCGAACCAAGTCCATAAGTAAACGTTAGTTCCGAGAAAATGGTTGGTGAGACATTTAGCTGTGAGATGTGGTCAGTATGCCCGTTCTCGACAGGGTGCGCCACACACTCGAATGAATCGACGCCGAGTACCAACGCACCATCGAAATAATGTCATCCAAAAGATGTGCTTGACCAACAGTCATGCCCATCATTCCCGATTGAGAGGCATGTACAATGTGAACATGAAAGTGATCTGAGCGTAGACAAGGTTAAGTAATATGCAATGTACCCTTCAACAGTTTCAGTGAAAATGTCCTGTAGACACCGCACGCGCGATGAAGAACAGAACCACAAGTTGCACGAACTCAAGGGGCAACACTCACAATACGAAGGCTGATAATGCACGTACAACCTCACACTCCCCTCCCTCAGACCCCATTCCCTCCTCACAACCCCATGAGCCGCGTCCCTTAGTTCCAAAAGCATCTTCACATGTCCACCCTCACCCCCCCGCAAGTCGCGTAGCGATCGTATCGACGGGTCAAACACGAGAGCGAGCAAGTAAAGCGAACTTATAGGGTTCGTGTTTGGATCCCACTTCATATCAGGGAGAATAACAAACGATGCGGTACGTGCAAGCACGCGGTCAGCTTCTGACACACCACTGAGTACATCTTGTACCCTGTAGTGACCAATATGAAGCAGAATAAAGATGAGAACCCCACGTGACATCATTTAACAAGATGAACATACCATTGGGTACGCGACGCTGGAAATGCGTCGATATATGGTTTCACAATCTTCTTGTACAGTTCTGGCGTCTCATGGACCATCAGCACGTCTTGCTTCGAGTACTAGCACGGTCAGAGAACGTGGGTACGCGCATTATAACGCAAGTGAACGCAAATGGCGAAGATGACCGACCTTGCGGATGTGGACCTCAGTCGCAGGGAATATGATATCGATCTTGACATCCGGGAGATCCTCTTTTCGTTCCAGCCATCCGTGCATCCACGTGTACTGTCGCCGCCATGAACGAAGTCATGAAAGGATAACCGACATTACCAGATGGGAGCCTAAGGAAAACTGGCAACGACGTACGATATCACTGTTCCCAACATGCTTGACGGAGGTGAGGACCCCCGACGAAAGTCGTTCAGGCAGCGACAACGGGAAAGCCATTCTTTCGAAACGAAGGATGGCTGGAAGACGCCTGTCACTCGGGCTACATGCTGCACCCGTAGAAGTCTCAGACATCGGTGCTGGGAGAGTCCCGAGAACAAACAGGAAGTGGAAATTCGGATCTGTGAGGTTGGGTGAGTGATGCCAAAAGACACTTGCCCAGAGGCGACCACACTTTCATCAAGAACGCGCTTAAACTGGAACTCCTGTAATAAAGGCATCGAGAACGCCATAATTGTAGGAGGATGATGAATCTTGCTATCAAGTGAGCCAGGACCCTCGATCACGTAAAGCGTGGTCTCATGTTGACATAAAGAGCTACATTAGTCAAGGTTCTGTAGTGTAGTGGTTATCACTCGGGATTTTGACCTTGTCCATCTTCCCGAAACCCAGGTTCGAACCCTGGCAGGACCTTCCTTTTGCTGCGTTGTTTGCGATGCGTCGGAAGATTCATCCGACATACCAACGTGCCAAACGACTCACTCGCTTCTCAACACCATTTCAATTGCAGAGGGGTATCTTTTTCAGAGTAGTCTCGGGTATGATGATTAGTCCCATGATAAAATACATTCCAAGTAAATCAAGCAAATGCCTGTCGTCTAGCCCACCTGACGCTCGCGTTCCAAGTACCTCTAATACCCAGACGGCTTGGCACCTGACTTTGACGTATCGTACGCACGAATAAGCTTCGTCTGATCCTGACGCTCGTTTTCCGTCTGGCTAAATGCGAATCCACGGTTGCGCCGCATGCGTTGCACTGCGCGGACTTTTTTGATAGCCTTTTGGAACCTGTCGATCGGCAGGTTCAGATGGGTAGTGTGATGGTAAGTGAAAAGATAACGCACTGCTCTTGTCGTGGCCGGTAATCGGGAATGTTGTACTTCTGCACCTCTTGGGCAATGTGATACGGTCGCGGCATGTACGTTCGACGGTAGCTGCGGAAGATGAACGACTTACTTCAAACCAGACAGAGAGGGCACTCACTATTTCCAAGTAAAGTCTCGGGCAAGGCACAAAACAGGTACAAAGAGAATGAAGAAATAAAAGATGGCGTCCGTCCACAGGCGTGGCACCAGGCCGTAGTATTCAGTGGAGAATCCAATGACCGGGGCGATCCATGCGTAAAGTGGGAGAAAGACCATCGTGAAGACAAATGACCCAGGAATCGCTGTGGCAGGATAATCAATTTTTCATCTACATCAATTACAAGGACTTACCGGCAACTGTATATTTCGTCCACAAACTGGTCTCGCTCTCATCAACCACACTAAAGTCATAGTAAGTAGGAGACTTACTCTGATATCAAGGCAGCCTTGCCAAGCACAGTGAGAAGGACCGCTAGATAGAGGGTCGTGCCCCAGAACCAATGACCTGAGTCCAAACCCGTGGCCTGCTTCAGATCACCCCAAAACAAAATGACAGAAAAACCGAAGAGGATCTAAGCGCGTTCCACCAATCAGCGGAGTCTGATCAAACCTAGGTAACACTCACCAAACTATGATACAAGGCATTCCCGACCCAAAGCCAAAACGCCATTTTGCTAAAGAACACATTCTTCTGACCGAGGGAATACAATTGTGGGTAATGGTCTAATACCCGCGCGGAGACAAATTGGTCGAAGATGCCAATGACGAGCGGAGGAAGTAAGGTGAAGATCACATTATAGAATGAGATCGTCCAAGATTCGTAGGCGATTTGGCCAGAGAAGTTGTTGAAAAAAGAGTACTGAGGACAATAGATTAGCTGGAATTCTTTTGAAAAACCTTGGTTACGTGCCCAAAATTGCGTCATGTAGAGCGTGATGTTCTTGTAGAACGAGTCTGTGAAACGAATTATAAATTGACAAAAGCGGTGACTAGGCTCTTACAGAGAATGAGCTTTGACAATCGCTGGTAACTCCAAGCGCCATGGACAAGTAAGAGCTTCTTGAGGTACCGGAACTGTGATATTGCAACATCTGCCGATCGCGCAGCTTGAAGTCCCTATCGATGTGGGCTCAGGTCATAGAACCTGCCACCAACAGTGCTTGACACATACCTCCACACCTGATATGCCAACGCCAACATGGGCAGCCTGAATCATGCTCACATCATTAGCACCATCCCCGATAGCGAGGAGAATCGACTTTTGGTTTTTCTTTACTAGCTTCACAATGAGTGCTTTTTGTAATGGCGACACACGACCTAATAGTTAGCGGGATGAGGACACGAACAACAGCTACGTCATGGGGACGAACAGCAGACGACCGCTTTGCAGAGAAGAGCTAGCTCCAGGAAGGACTGTGACAACTCCTTTTCCAGCGCAAACGTGAGGCTTTTCCCATCTAAGAGAGCATGAAGGTTCGAGACTCCGAAATGTGAACTGTAACGTACCAATAATCAGAGCAAGGTCTTCAAGTTCTCCGCTGCTGCGCTGATTCTTGAGTGCGGTAAGACGTTTGCATATGAAATCTGCAGTATCTTGCGCGTTTTCTTCGTTTACAATGACCTACGATTAAGCTATAAATAGTGTTCTAGCGCCTGAATTATTATCGAGCTCACCAAATTCATGGACTCCGAGATCAATCGACATGACATCCCAATATTGATCGCTGTCTCCTGCCTGTCACCTGTAAGCACCCATATCTACGTAAATAACTTAGTAACCGAAACCCATTCGACTCAAGAGTCGCACCTTGATTCCGGCCATCTGCAACGTATGTATGGTCTCCGGTACGCCCTCTTGCAACTTATCCTCAATAGCCGTCGCTCCCAGCAGAAACATATCTTTCTCGATCAACTCGGCAGCGCGATCGAGAGCTTCCGCTCGTCCGTTGATTGTAGACGCTGCTTGATTGTAAATGGCAGCCCATTGACGATATTCGGCATCGGGAATGTCGCGGTACGCGATGCAGAGCGTGCGAAGACCCTCTGTCGCATAATCCTGCAGCACACACAATATTACTGAAGACAGCTTCATAGAATGAAGCGTTTGACTCACCTCCAAGTGCACCATCGTTTTTTCTACAAATAGCTGACTCTTCCCCAATCGCTCGAGGATGACAGTGTCCGCGCCTTTACAGTATAGCTTGATTTTTCCGTCGGGAGCACGTACGACCGTTGACATTCGTTTGCGTGTGGAGTTGAATTCACAGATATTAAGGATTTCGTATTCGGCAGGTCTTCCGTAGATGTTAAGGAAGACAGATTTTGGTTTGCGAATCTGAGGCAAGCAGCGATGTCAGGGGCTTTGTCAAACGAGACGCACTGTCGCCAAGATAAAAATCGCAACTTACGTGGAACTCATACCCCAGAAGCGCAGCACCAGCCACCAGTGCTGCTTCGTCGGGGCTACTCGCCTGGTAGTGCGTCTTCTCGCCTTTTACCTCTGGAATAACGGTGTGGCATACTGCGAGGAGAACCATGAACTCTCGTGCGTATTCGCGGTCTCTGTCTTGATCTCTATCCAACGTTGCATGGAACGGATTTCTTGTCCCTGACGAGATTGAGGAGGAAGAGCCCTGCAGAAGTGCGCGCAACTCATCAAAGGTTCTCCATCCATCCTTTCCGTCTTCCCCTCTTTTATTCTCATCCACTACATCAGCCCATGCAACGCCACAAACGCTCGCCGCCCTGAACTCCATCTCATTCCTCGTTAGCGTCCCCGTCTTGTCCGAGAATATGAACTCTATTTGCCCTAGTTCCTCCACCAGACTTGACGTTCGACATAGTGCCGGTGTGTCCGTAGACGCGTAATACATGTCCAGATCACTGTTGATGAGCAATGAGTGTTGGAACTTGACTACTTCCATCGTAACAACAAGGGAAATCGGGATCAGGTTGTTGTACAATATGATGAACGTCAGGATGTCTGCCAAGGGATCAGTGGTACATCTAGCAGGATTGTCGCACCAAGTGCGCACCCTCCACGAAGAGCCTGGCTGGGATTACATGTCAATAAAATAAACGGCTGCCAAAGCTCGCTCACCTTTCCCAGAGAATGTGTTCGACTGGAACAGATACCACTGCTGGCTCGACAGAAACCACTATCAAGTAGACTCAGCACCTATGTCAGGGCCTGCATTCATTACAAGCTTACCGTATTAATGCTTGCCCCCACTGTGGATCCGATGGATAGTGCAAGGAGGAGCCCAAACAGAAATATGATGTGTACGTTGACCTGCTTTTCCACCGAGGTGCGCTTAATGGGTGCTGCGCTATTCGATACTCAGCACCTGCAAAAGCGACGGAGCAGAACACTGTGTCGCTTACGTTGCATTCCGCATCAGCTTCGTCTCGTGTCCCGTGAACACCACTATGCCGTATACCCACGGCGTGTTCCTCAGTTGTGCGCCTCGGAGTAGGAGTTGGTCCGGCCCGAGTGGTATTTGTCGTGGGACCCCCGTGTCAGAGAGGAGGTCTAGCGTGCCTTCGTACGTGTAAAGAGAATTATTTGGTTGTTCCGAGCGCAGGCTCCCGTGGAGGGAGGTGACGAGTGAGGGAGAAGTGAGCGACGACGTTTGTGGCGAAGCCTGCTTGATTTTCAGGTTTGTCTCGCTGGTGAACCAGGTGAGATGGATATGTAAATCCACCAATTGCCATGGCATGCAACGTACCCATCCAAATTTGAAGTCTCAATATAGCAGAGACCCTCTGGCTCCGACGATGATATTAAGACGAGGTCTGCAGGTATAAACTCATTCGACTCGACCCGTACTACGTCACCGACGCAGAGATCCTTCCATTTCCGTGAGTCGAACGTATTTGACAATGACAAAGCTTTGGCAATTCGTGCATTGAGCTCAGAGTCAGACTGGTGACGTTTCTATAGACCATTAATAATGTAGTGTGGTTGGGGGATGATATCTTGGACAGCGGGTGGAACTCACGAGATCCTCCTGGACTTCCTTGAATGCGGACGCGAGGAGAACAATTGCGAGTGGTACAATGGTCGTGTACTGGTTCGTAGGAGATACGCCCGGAATTTGTTGTATGCATGCCGTAAACAAGAAAAACAGATTCGCATATTTCGAGAATTGTTCTAGATGACCCAAAGGCTTGTGCATTAGTACCGTGGATTAGCGCTGCACCACATATCAAGCAAATGCAGGGTGACACGCTCCTGCACATCCAGATGGGACACAGAGCCGGGAACTCCGCAAACATCCTCAGGCCGCGCATCCAAACATGATGAAGCAGCATGATGAAGCAGTCGACCAAGCAGAAGCTCCAACACTAAGGCCGGGGTGGAAAGGGACGGAAGGACCAGCCTCCTTGTATAAATGACAATTTGAACGCACCCTTAAGAAATTTCAAGAGAAATGTAACCACGTTGTATTTGCTTGTTGAAACGAAATTCGAGCAAAAGTAGTCGTTCATGGCCGGATTGTTTAGCGTGATTACACGTTCCCCGGATAATTCCACCTTCTTCTCCCA